CAGCAACAGCAACGGCAACAACAACAACATCGAAAATGAAGCTGTTTTGGCCATAGCACAAAGTCCACTATTCCCACATGCTATTGTCATTCCTGGGTACAACAAGGTTGTTCCATGGTCCAGAAGTGTTGAGACCATTGCTCATACTTTTTTCATTGGTTTAGGTTTGTGTTTAGGGGAATCCGTGGATAGAGTATAAGGCGGTTCACTTGATGTGCCCTACTCTCCAGGTGCTTGTTGGTCTTTGTACTTTTTTTTATGAACGCCTATATGTTGTGCTGCAAGAGTTGGTTCATAATTCTAGCTAGAAACCTTGGAGTCAGCATCACCACGACGCTGCCATAGAGGGAGCAGCTGCCAAGAACTGTTCATTCCAAACCCTAAATCCAATCCCGAATCTGAAAACCCTGCCCTCCGGCAGCTTAAGCCGATATGTAAACATATACAAGCATATATATATATACATACGTATATGTGTATGTGTGTTTCCTGAAATTAGGGTGCAATCTTAAATAAGGACCATAGTATGTTAGGGCCTCCCCTTACGGAAGCATGTATATATATATATATATTTACACATACACACACATGTATATGTAAACATATGTAAGCACTGACAGACCTCCACTGCTGCCCAGGTAGCGATCAAGCTAAAAAGTGTCCTGACATCGTCAGTGGAAACTCCAAGGGACTCCTTGGCGTGATTCTCGTACAAGACTACTGTCTGGAAGGTTGCCGAAGTATGGTTCCTTGTGGGGTATCCAAATATGACAAGGCCCCTAGTATGTAGGACATGGCAAAAGGGACCATACTGTTGACAACCGCAGGTATCTTGTGCATGTGTTCCAATACCTGGACCTTCCATATGCTCAGAATCATGGCCTTCACTCCCAACATATCTGGTACATACGCCCTATAAAACCTAAACCCTAAACCCGGAACCTCAAACCGGTTCAAGCGTAGGCTGTTATTACAGGTATTTGGGAGGTGTAGGGCGCAACTGTGGACCAACTAGACATGAAAAGCTTAAACGCACAGGATTGTCACCCCATCTAGAGGAACAGCCAAGCTAAGATGTAGCAGGCTTGTTGGTTTTGCCTGAGGAAAGGCAAGTTGTGCTAAACAAACACACTGGTGTGGTCAAAAAGGGTTCAACGAAACAGTCATAAACTGAGAGGCCTCTCCTCGCTGTAGGTCGACTCTCATTTTGTAGTTGGGCTATACGGATATGGGCTCTTGAAGCCGCCCAGACCCAAAACTCTAGATCCTAACCCTAAAGGACGGGTGGCTAAGACCGAGTCCAATTTGTCCACGTTCATGGCGGCCTCAATGTCCTCCACCTTCTGCATGGCACAATATTGGGCAGGGGGGTCCAGAGAACCAGGCTAGGATTTAGGGCTTGGAATTGGGATTTAGGGTGTGGGGGGAATCAATGTCATTGCAATATTGGGGAGAGGGGTCCAACAATTTAGGTACACCTCTCTTGAAAGTCCAGAATCACATGGATTAACATGTAAGGGGTCTTTTTTGGGCTCCCATTTATGGAAACTCCCACATGTTGTGTCCTTTGCTTAAAGTACAGTGCTGGCACAATGCCGAGGATACACGCACCCGATTTTCCCTGATTTTCAGGTTATCAATTCCGTTTCTTCCGAATCCGTAGACACTAAACCCTAAACCCGGTTGTTGGGATTTGTTCCGATAGCAGGAGTTTAGACCCTAGGGAGATACTAGGAGTGTAGACCCTAGACCCTAAACCCTAGGGTTACCAAGGGGGATACCAAAAAATGTAGACCCTAAAACCTAAACCCTAGGGTAATTAAGGGGAATACTAACGAGAAGTTTAGACCCCTAAACCCTAAGCCCTAAGCCCTAAACCCTAAACCCTAAGCCCTCAACCCTAAACCCTAAGCCCTTAGACTATAGCTCACGTAAAGTCACTTGCCGCAGGCGTGGCACCTTCAACTGGTCCGAGTCCTGACCTTGATTCATCTCCTCGAAGACCTTTGAGGGTTTAGGGTTTAGGGTTGAAGGTTTGGGATTTAGGGTTTAGGGCTTAGGATTTGGAATTCAGGCTTTGGGCCTGCAGAGTTTAGCGTTTAGGGTTTGGAGTTTATTACCATTAGTCAGGGTTTGGGGGCGGCCTTCGGAGCGTAAAATCATAAAATTTTGGAACTAAGGAAATCTGGGAGGCTACGTAATCGTGAGTTTATGTGGGCTTGCGGGTTTCGGGTTCAGGGTTTAGGGTTTTACTTCGAGGGTCAGTGGGAACTTTGTAAGTAGGTTGATTACACCTACAACCCATATAATAACATTCGTTATCCCCATTGCTACCCAACTTATTAAGTCCCCTCAAAACAGACTACGGGGATCATCTAGGAAGTGCAGCGCGATTAAGGCAGCCCATAAAGTGGTTTTTGTACCCTTCCAAAACAATGAAAGTAGAGCAGAAGGGTTGGAGAGCCAAAATGAGGGGTACCTTTATTGGGTTCCCTGCAATAGGGATGATGCTATTTTGGGATCTATATTGGAATCTGTCTATGTAGGGAAACTACCATATTAAGATTGAATTGACAAGTCGCAGGTGCAGAGCTGGTGATATCTAATCTCATTCGACCGTGTGTTTAAAGCCCAGGGTCTTGGCTTGAATCGAATGCCGTGGTTTTGGAGGAAGTAAACGGGAAGCCAGACAACAAACTCAAGGAGATTATGAAATGAACGCCAGTAAGCCGATGACCGCGAACCTATCATGGGGCTACTATGCCCCCTCATTACCTTTAGGCCCAACAAACTGAAACCTTTAACGAAGGTGTTGAAAAGCACATTCAGGCGTGTAAAGGCTTATTCCGACTCACTAAGGCCCATCCTTTGCCCATAGTAGTCCGCTTGAGCTAGGATATGGTTTGCGGCAACAATTAAGACTCCGGGCGATGTCCTTGTTATGCTATGCCGTGTTCATGGGAAACCCAAGAATATAGCAGGTAGAGCTGGAATGTAATCAGCCTCTTAGGTACATTACTCTCATTCTCCTACTATATTCTTAGGGTTCCCCGTTGTGGGTCTCCCCATTAAAACTACTGTCGTTTGACAAAAAAAAAGAACCGCAAGCCCTGTAACGCTCATGGGTTGCCGTACCTCAGGGGCATCTGGGGATAACTGGGGCAAAAATTCAAACCAATTGCGGGGTAGCAAGGTAATAGGCAGGCAACTCAGGAAGCTCAATACCACGGAACAGACCTTCAAACATGCTAGGATCCCTGATCTGTTTTGAAGTGTTCTGCAACTATGCGGTATTGGGCCCTCTAGGCCCCTAAACCCCAAAACCTGAAAACTAAGCCCTAAACCCGAAGCCCCAAGCCCCAGGCCCTAAACCCAACACCCAAAACTCTAAACCATCAACTCTAAAGCCTAAGCTCTGTAATGCTAACCTGGAGAAATCTCAAAAACTCCAAACCTCGACAGCCAAATGTAGGGTTTTAAGGATTTAGGGTTCAGGGTTTAGGGTTTTAGGGTTAGGGTGTTAGAGTTTGGGAGTGTTAGTGTTTAGGGTTTGGGGCCCTAAATAATTCTATTCTCTAGATAATTTGGATGTCTCTTTGAGGTACCGTATACCAACCGAAATAATGCAACGAACCTAGGACCACAACATCGGTCTTCATTTAGGCTCCGGTTTAGGAATACTGGTTTAGGCCGCTAGCCTAAAGCGGCTTCAAGACTGCCCTTTAATACCTCAAAGCTCTAGAATCCCCAACCGGGAACGCACCTAGTTCCCCTACAGCCCCCATACATCCGTGAAACCCCTCAGCATACCCTGACTTTTTTGTTTAACCGAACACCTTCGTCACTCTAAACCCTGAACCGCTTAACCCTTGAGGTAAGGGGCGCTCTGCAGCGCTTGCATTTGCTCATTGCGCTTCCTCAGCTCCACACCCAATGGTCCGTGGCCGTTCTACAATCATACATGCAGGGGTTTCAGACTTGGTGTTTGAAGTATAGGGTTTGGGGCTTGAGGTTCCTGACAGACCAATCCAAAGACCACCCCAACCGCTGGTGTTAGGGTGTATAGGGTTCCAGGCTCATGGTTTCTGGTTTGCATAAGTGAAGCCATTGGGTTCCCATCATCTGACTAAGTGATTATAAGCTTCCACCCAATCCGCTCATAAACCCTAAGCCCGCCCCCAACATCCAGAAACTGCTGGGCGGCGATGTGCTTAGGGCCTCATGAATCACGTCCCAAAAGGCAAGAGCCCTCCACCTGAGCATAAGAATCACCGCACAGTACGCAAACAAGCGAACTGAAAAAAGGTTCTCAAAGTACGAAGCCGTTGGACCTTCTAGGAATACATGGGGCTTACGCTGGGAGTGTGTGAGTCCCTAATCCCTTCCTTTAATGCTAAACCCCTCCACCTCCCCATAATATTAAATACTCCCATTTGGTGGTACATTGTAATAGATTCGGGGTATCTAATATTGGGCGGGGGTGTAATATTAGGGGGAGGGAGTAAGGAGTCTGTAGGGCAGCGTAGTAGGGATCACCCATTGCAAGTGTTGCCTCATAAAACTACCATGGGCGCTCCCCGATATGCACTTTCCCAGCCAGGCTAATATGGCCCAAAAAAGCGAACAGCATGTAAGAATCTCTGAATCACTGAAACTGCATCATCCCATTCTGGGGTCCCATATAACATGTTGCCATACCGTTGGTGTTCCCTTTCAAGCCAGTGCTACTGCCTGTCGAGACCCTCGCAATATCCTCAATGGTTTAGAGAGAGGCCTAAGACATCAAGTGCACGCCTTGAATTAAACCCTGAACCCTTAAGGCCCTCAGCTGTCCAGCAAGCCTGAGATTCTGGAGCGTCTTCAATGATGCAATCTCTTTATCGGCGCTGGCACGCTCGATGGCTGTGTTTACAAAGACACCCGTCACGACGTTCCTTGCGTGTGTTTAGTTTTGTTTTTTTTCCCCATTTACGGGTTTAGGGACGCTCCTTGGCACGGTTTAGCTTACTGGTGCTTCTGGGAGACGGGGGGCAAGGTCCCCCCTACAACTATTCCTCTTCATCCCAACATTCACCCCTTTTCTGGCACGCAAAATCCCTCCCGCACTCTTCTTCAGCACCGGTGAGTGAAGGATAGGGTCAACAATCTGGGGTGACATTCCTTCCTGCGACAAACAATCCATGAGGGTGTACTTACCCCGTGAAAGATGTCTAGATCAGGGCTTGCTAAATGACCTTGAACAATAAACCCATAGCTTCATGGCACCTGCTCCGGAATCCGCATCATTTCGCGGGATTGTGAAATTTAGGGTCGAGCAGACTAGCCACGCAGCCAACCGCCTTCCAGGGCCGTCATAAGATGTAAAATATCAACGTAGACCCCTGAACAATAAACCCCGGTCCCCTTAATAGGGATTATAGTAGGGATCCGAATATGAAGGCCCTTACAAGGGGCTTATTCAGCACGGGTCTACATTCACACACTTACGCGTTGACTTGCTTGTAGGCGGGTCCTATTGCTCGGCTGCTCTTGCATGTTGACTTCAGACCTGTCGCAGGGCTCACGTTCCCCCAAACAAGGAAGATTTCCCTTTGCAAAAGGCAAAGAGTCTTTGTAGGAAACCCTCAGCTCTGACACAGTGCCAGGCTCAGGGGGTTTGAGGCCGAGGGTGCGAGCATCCCAAAAATGAGGCCAGCAGGGCCCGGAGAAAAGAAGAGCTATGGTAGCCCACGTAACTCAGAAGCAATTACGCGAGAAGAGCCGCAAAAGCCGTCCTAGACCTCTAACCCGAACATGTGGCCCAGCGGATGCCAAGGGACAGAATTGTGAAGACGCTGAGCGTAACGTAGAACAACATGGTTGCCACAGCAAGCATGGAGACATCACTGAGAGGTATCATCGCCTCAAATGGGCTTTTCAAAATAGACCCTAAGGGTCCAAGGACCCAAATAATACGGTTTTGGGACCCAAATACTATACTATCAATGGTATTTTGACCCTAAAACCCTATTATTTGGGTCCTTGGACCCTTAAGGAGTGCACCCCAAGCCCAGTTTAGGGTTTAGGGAGGTAGGGAGTACAAGATTGTATTGGAGCCCAAGTAAGAATCGTGCAAGGGTCTATTTCATAGTTCAAGTTTCAATTGGGGGGGCGGCATTTCAGACTTGGAGTAAAGGCTTAAGATGTGCTAGAGATAGCAGACGATGACAGATGATGTGCCACTATAACACTTCCACCTGACTGTAACCGCAGAACTGGATTGTCCAAACAACTTCAGAAAACCGCCTATTTGCGTGGTTGTTCCCGAAGGGTCCATATGGGGGCTGGAAATAACATATACTTAGGTCCCAAAGAGGTTCCCATAGAATCATGTTGGGGACGGATCCCATTCTATGGCTAGGTGGGGTCGTTGGGTAGGATGGGCTGGGGCTTGTTGACTCTTCGCCTCAACATTTGCACATAAAACGGTTTCACGAAAAAGCCCCTAATATACAACCCAAGCCGGAATGGAACCCTCATCTTCGGAAACCCTCATCATGGCTGCATGATCTGAAGGATCCCCATAATCCCCTCATCATCACTATATAGGCCTAGGGTCCCTTGCCCAAAGTCCTATGTTCCCGCACGAACTTCAAGCCCTGGCCTCCGACCAGGACAGGCCACCCGTGATGGAGTAGAAGAGGGTCAGCATGCTCCTAGGCGTCACTCACACCATTCCCACCTGATATGGAACCCTTCTAGTACTGGAAGGAAATGGTCCCCTTAATATATGAGCTACTGTCTAAACTCCTAGTCCCCTTGATACCCCCTATAGTAGTCCCCTATATCACCCCCCTTAAGGAGTTTAGACTATGGCTCATATGTGGGCTGCTATAGGGAATATCTAACACTACATAGGGGTTGCAGGAGAGGCTTGAGTGTAGCCTGATCCCGACGGGAATCCAGAGTCCCCAGCTTGTTTCTGAGCATGCACTTTCACAAGTCAGCTAGGAAATTCATATGGTTCATTTCCTTTGTGGTCGGTATTCCATGAATCCTAAACCCTAAACCCTAAACCCTAAACCTAAACCCTAAACCCTAAACCTTATGCATATCGCCTCAAAGAGATGGTGGCGGCCACTCTAGAAGAACCGGCGCAGCCAGCTCCTACAAGCATCCTGCAGCTATCCCTAGAGGTTTGGGATTTAAGGTTTAGGGTTTAGGGTTTAGGGGGGTTTCCCAAAATTAGCGGTACCTACTATAATGGAGAATCAAATGGAAAAGAAAATGGAAAATGAAATGGAAACTGGGGTTATGTAGGGGA